AGCTTTCCAAAATTTGAGAAAATGTTTAATAGGTGAGGTCGGAGAGGCCTGGCAATTAATTCCTCGGTGACTGAGCACTTTAAGAGCCATGTTTGTGTGTGTGTAAACAGAATTTATGAGATAAAGTTGTATTGTACTTGATATATAATAAGCATGTCAACAGGTTATATTATACAATAATTCTTATCCATGTCTTTTTTCATTGTCTTTGTGACTATTCATCCACGTTCTTATATGAATTATTTTCTTGACTTCATGGAAAATTTGCAGGTTAATGGTGACAAAAAATATCAAATTCACCTCAAGTCAGAAAGTGGCCCTATCTATGTCTTGCTAGTCAACCAAGAGCAGGAGCACACTCCACCTCTGGTTGTGCAGGTGAGTTGGCTATATGAAATTTAGTTTGAGTATATATTGATTTAATGGTGATGTTGGCCTTGATTGTGGTAAAGAAGGCAGTAGGTTTGAAAAGAAAAAGTAATTCTTCCACATTGTTTACTCTAGCCTCATACTCACTATTGAATTATATTTTTGATACTATAATACAGGTTCCTCCTCCAACTGGTGTAATGAAACAAGAGACTGAACCACGGGGTATAAAGAGATCCTCCTCCCCTCCCTGTAGCCAGGCACCTTTCACTCGCCCACGTTCCACCCCGCAGAAAGGCACAACTGCACATACTCCACCCACACGAAGTCCTTCTCATCCAGAGGTAAACTGAAATTGATCTGTGATTTAATTGGTCATATACTTCCTTTTATTTATAAGAATGTCTGTGTATGAATTATGATAAAATATTTTATTATAAAAATTACTTCCAGGGTGTAGATAGTGTAGAAACTGCTTCTGTATCGCGTCGGGTGCCACGCAAAGCATCAGCAGGAGTTAGTAGTGTAACAGAAGCCTTAGCTCCTAGAAGAGCGCGTAAAAGACAAGAACAGGCAGCAGCAGCTGCAGCTGCAGCTATTTCATCAACACAGCCAGGTAATTTATTTTCCTATTTCTTTCTTTTTTTCCAAATTTAGTTTAGTTTCTAATTTGTTTTAGATAATTTAAAAATACTGAATGACCACAGAAGAATATGAAGAATGTACAATTTATAATACAAGTTATTTAGTTGATCAACTGAGAAAGAGGAAAAGAAATCTGTCATTGCTTTAATGATAGTGATGTATTCAAACCTTATTCAAACTCTTTGATCCCGTTGCTTCACGCCATTCACATGGAACAAAATATGGCCTTTAGGCTTGTAGGCAGGGCGTACAAGAACACTCATATACGGTGACAAGACTCTATTCCGCCCCTTTGCAATATTATTTTGTCTTTGTATGCATAAGTACCATTTTCCAATGTCCATATTTGTCATTTGATTTACTTTCTCCAGATGGTAATAACCTGTTTTCCTTGCACAGATTATATCATCCCTCTAGGTAGTCCATAACTCAGTGCAAGAAAAAGAAAAATATGTATCGTTTTGTTATTTGTATTTCCTTTTCCTTTTCCTTTTCCTTTTTTTTTTTTTTTTTTTTTTTAATTCAACCTGCCCCGCATGTCAGAAGCCAGGATTAGGATGCTGAGCTTGGAAATTGCATCTTCCTTGGAGCCATTGCTCTTCCAGTCATGGCTCATGGACACCACATTCCACACTTATTTTTCAGTGGGAGAAATGCATCCTCAGAGAGATTTGTGCTCTTGTGGCGAGTCTTTTCTGTCTCCCTGGCCATCACCCAAAACCCCATCCAAATTTTTTCATAACGTTATGGTCATATCATCAGGATTGAAGGGTTCATACATATGACAAGCTTGACAGATTTCCTTCATTATTATGATTACTTCTGACAAAGTTATAAATAAAATATTTTCCATCTGTTTACAGCTGAAGTAGTAAAACATGAGAAGGTTGAAGATATGCTCCCTATGCCTGTAGCAAATATAAAACAAGAACTTCGAGAGGATAGCTTTGTGAACACAAATATTTCCCACACAACCGGTAAGTGAATGCTCAGTGTATGTACATACATACACGTGCAGGCATGCACACAGAGAGAAAACGAGATAGAGATTAAGATTAAACTAAGATTGATATATCACAATGCACTCATCAAATGCAACATACAAAATATGTCTACCTGTGAAATTAAGAACTTTAAAATGTTTTACTAAGAATAAGTAATCTAGATTAACGGCAATTTATTTTGCTCTAAAAGGTCATATTTGATATTTTTGAGATTCACATTTTTAAAGCTCTCAAAGATTAGCAAAATCAAACCAAATATTAGTTTGCACAGTAAGTATATATTAAGTAAAAGTTAATGAAATTGAATATATATATGTATAAGAATGACAAGCCCTCCCACTTATTTCACAAGTTCGCTAAGGCAAACCTTGTCGATACAATAGGAAATGTACATTTGTCTCATCTTCACTACAGTGACTTAGGTTCTGATTCTTAAAGCCAAAGTTCCACTTGACTTTGTTGACTTTGAGACAACTCAAGTCAGGGATTGCAAGCCTTAGGCCAAGCCAAACTATATAACAAGAACTATGGGTGCTAGATGTAGAGCATTCTTGCCCACAGCCCACAATTTCACAGCATTGATGAAAGATAGTCTTTGATCATCTTGACTGTATGTTAACCTATTTACGACAGCTGTCCCATATATGAGACACCCGTAAAAATAAACATTGCCGGGCATCCCGCCAGTGTGATGTTGGATCGGAGCTTGCACACCAAATACATCGCGGCCAGCCCCATGTGCCGATCTTGTAGCCACCTGGAAACTATTATTTTCTGCTTCAAAATATACCCATTGGGGGCATGTACATACACTGTCCATTATGATTGGTTATGTATATTTTGTTTACACATAGGAAGCTGCACAAGCTCTTAGTCACTAAGGCGTTAGCTAGGCCTACCTGATCATACCTGTCTACCCCAGTCCATAAATTTTGGAGAAACATTTTTGTTTGCTCATTAACATTATTATTATTATCATCATCATCATTATTATAACATAATTATTAATATTAGTATTGATAAAGAGTAACACTCCTTTTCAAAAAATCAAGTAATAAAGTTATTAGGAAGGTCATGTAGGCCTTGTGATGAAATCCTTGATGACTCTAGTGCTTCTTGAACCACCTATGGGTAAATATATCATTGGGTTAAATATTATTATACATTTCTTATATTAAAAGCATTTTGAAGCCAGATTAGAGCCATCAACTCTGGTTGTGACTTTGAGTCAATATTTAAGCATGGTATCATCCACCCAGTTCATTACTCAGCCTACAGAATATATCCTTTCCTCTCTTCCTAAACGTTCCCCTCCATCTCCTGAACTGTATTCATCATTTTCAGTCACCTCCCTTATTACTACATGTTGTCCTTATTGTCTTCCTCCCTACATTTCTCCTTCACTACCTCTTCTTCCCTCTCTCTACTTCCACCTCAGCAAATGTTTTAAGTATTCTTTTTATCCCAGTCAAGTGGGATTGTTTATGAATCCCCCTACAGCCCCTTACTCTGTTAATACCCTCCTCATTCAACAACATCTCCAAAATGAGTAGCCAAAGTTTCCTATTGGAGCTGTTCTGATTGTTCACACTATGTAATAGTAATGCTCATGCATTACCTACCCTGACTAACCTCACTGGCAAACCTACTCCTGCCCAGCCTTACTCCTTCCTTAATACTTGGACTGGACCTATTTCCATCTCCACAGCTGCTTCCCTTGTCTACAAGCATTGGTGTTTTTGATGCAATAAAAATACAGTGCCGCATTATTCCTCTCAATAGGCTGCCATAAATCCTACCCCAGTATTGCCGAGATAGACCTGTCCTGTCCTGTCTGACCATCTCCCCTCTTCTTCAAATGTCAGAAATGTTGGCATTTTGGCCACCCCGCTCCTCAACCTGCTGCCTTCTGTTTGCCCAACCTGGTTGTGATCATTCAAGTTACTAGACCTTGCTCTGTATGAAGCTAGACAGGAAGCATCTATTGCGATAATGTTCTTTGCTCCGCTCCTCTCCCATCCTTTCAAAATGTCTCAGCATCTCTTCCCCTCTGCCCATTACCATTGTACCTATATTCCTTCTCTCCCCCAATCAATTTCTTTTCCCATTTTAAGTCCATTTACTCCAATCTCTACCACGTGTGCTGTTCTAGCGCAGCGGTTAGGGTGTTAGTCTCGCAATCTTGCAGACGTGCGTTCAATCCCGCGCACGGCCAGTGGACGGGATCCATCCTTTGCACACGGGGAGATTTAGAATCCATTATAACAAATAGAATTTAAACTAAACCTAAATCTTTAACCTACTAATGACGGGTGTCCCACATATGAAGACACCTGAAAAAATAAACATTGCTAGGCGTCCCGCCAGTGTGACGCTGTATGGGGGCTCTTGCTCTAACACAGCAGTGGGCCGCGGCGGGCGGGTGGGCCACCCGGAATCTTTTATTTTCGGCTTCAAAATATTCTGGCGTTAATGGGTTTAATCCTAAACTTTGCTGTTGCCTCTCTTTCTCTCTTTACCTTTAGTACCAAGCAATCTAAACTTTCCACTCTATCTTCTCTTGCCACATCCTCACCTGCACCCACCTCATCCTCTGCCCCTTAAATATCTGTGTTTAGCTCCTCATAAGAAAAACTTTATTTCTCAGTCCTCTCCACCCAACTCCCCTCCAGAGTACATCCAAAATTTCCTAAACATGACCCTTCCTCCTCCTCCTCCTCCTCCTCAAGTGTCCCCTATACCTCTTCCCCCCACTCTCTCCCATCCTCTCGTCCATGTGTACCATCACTTCTTTCCTCATTATCCATATTCCTACCACCTGGATGTTCATGGGACTCAGTGTCCTTCTCTTGTTTTCTTATCTCCTGCCCCATATTATTCTCCTACTAATTGCCCTGTTCCCTTAACCCCCTTTCCCTTTTTTCTTATACCCACTTTACATCCTTTGCTCTTCCACTACCCTTTTTCACTAACTACTATCCTGTAGTACTCTACAACTTGACATTAACACATTCTGTCAATCATTTTTACCCTTTTTGCCACAAGACTTTACCATGGTACTATAGGACTTTCAATGTCTAGCACATTCATTTGTTTTAACCATTAACCATTCAGAAAATATTTTGAAGCCAGTCTTAGATGCCTTATCCCTAGGGAATGTAAATGTAGTATAAAGAAAGTGGGAAGCTGTCTAGCCTGTGGTGGTTTAGGGACCAGAGTACAGCCTGATTATTAGAACCAGGGCTTCAAGAATCATTGTTGTTGTTGTTGTTGTTTTTGTTCTTTTACATAGTCTGTATCCACCTAGCTAGTCGGGAATTCAAGGCGGAGTACCTTAACACTAGACAGAAGAGAGGACCTTGTGTTGTGGGGGTTAAAAGGGATGGTTGTATGGAAGGGGGAGGGTAGAAGCAGAACATCAGTGAGTGATCATGACACTGAGTAAACATACCAGAAATAGTTATCCAGACTTGAACTTAGTGGTAAAAATTACAGGATCAATTTTCATATATAATGTACATAACCTATCTGCCTCCAGTATGAAGCAAGGGGACTTGATGTAGGTGATAAGTTCCTGTTAGATGAAGCAGTAGTTTACATATTGTGTCAGTCAAAATACAAAATAATGGAAATGATTGTTAGAATATTGTTGCTAAGATCTCTTCCTAATTTTGCAAGAAGAAATTATATCAGATCTAAAATTTTGTAGGATGATAAATTAAACAAATGATGATTTTTCATCATACTTTCCAAAAATCAAGAATGTATCCCAAGAAACTTGCTTACCATCCTTACTAAAAAGGGGCAAAGTTGATATTCTTGTCCCCTAAACAAACTAAATGAATGATAAGTCAATGATTTCCAGATGCAAGTAGTGAATATTGGCAGCCTGTTCCCTCTAAATTATGTAATTAGCTTTAAAAAAATACCAGATGCCATACTTGGAACAGGGATATGGAATTCATCAGAAATTAACAATTCCTGTAATTGAAGTGTATGGTCGCCAGAGATTTTCATAGGGACTATCCTGAAACCCTCCATCGTCTACCTTTGCCCCACTGCCCCACATGGTTTCATAGTGTCTACTTCTAATAGAGAAGTAAATTGCTCAAGTCTGTTCAACTGTAATATTGCCTTTCAAGGCACAGAAAAGTAATATAACCAGCTGCCAGACCTGTTATTTTTGATAATGCATCTGTAACCTTCATTAAAACAAACCAAGGTATATTGCATAATATATATATATATTTTTTTTTCTGCATTTCCTCTAGACACAATGCTGTCAACAATGGGAGAAGGCCTTGTAGAAGAATTGATATCTGCAGAAAGTGAGTATTCATTTACATTATTTGTATTCAAATATCTTGTAATATATTTAGAAGGTTCAGAATATAATGCTTGACTGTAACCAGTGTTCATTTTTACTCAAAGTTTGCTGAGGTAATGATTAATAAGTTATTGGTAGTTTCATAACTTGATTCACCTTACATAAGAATAATGATAAAATAGGTATATTTCTGGTTCAGTTTTAAAAGTGCTACAATTACTGAAAGAAGAATTGGCTTGAACAGTGTTAATCTTTTTAGTAATATGTGATAATTTGAATTGTTCTTTATTTTTTATCTTATTATTTTTAATAACTGATTATGATTATGTTCCAGTAAGTAGGTTTCTTGTGCTAGACTTGTTCTTTAATAATGTTCAGGTTTTGTTATGAACTCCAGTTTGCTGTACAACACATTTTTTTTCCAGTGTTTGCTCCTCTCCTGCGATTAAGCCCCCCTCCATCGGAAAGAGACTACATGTTCAACTTAGATGAAACTGAGGGTGTCTGCGACTTCTTTGACGTTCCAGTATTGAGTTCTCTTGAAAGTGATTTGCAATGAAGTTTGTGATGGAACTGGCAAAGTTGGTGGGCACATTTGTGGATAGTTGCATTTGGAAAGCATCCCTTGATTATGTTTTGGGCATGTAATGCTAAAAAGTTACCAAGGGCATTGAGATGGTGTAATGTTATGTTGTAATATATAATTGTTGGAGTAATATTCTATTTATTGATGACTGTTAACAGTATTTAGGTGAATGAAAAAGAGGATAAATAAGTTATATAAACCATTCAAGAAATTGGTTGTTGATGTTCAAAGTGGTACATGGTTCTTTTGTAAAGTCCTTTTCCATATTTTTGTTATTTCAGAATAAATTCAAAGGAAGTAAGAAGTGGTAAGGGACAAGAAAATACTGAACAAATGATTCTACCTTTGTGGTGCGGCAGTTAATCCAGGACTTGATGTGACTCTGGCCATTGACTTTCAGTTAATTCCAAAGAAAGTTGTAGGAGTCCTCAAAGATACCCTTTGTTGTTAGATAAAGGGATGATGTTCTGATGTGTCCTTGCAGATCTTTTGTGCAAAGTTATGTATGGTCAGATCTGAAAGGAAAAAAAATAGAGCAGCAAAGTGATAGTTTTGACCCCTTTATTTTTATAACTTCTAATGGGAGTAAACTATAAAACTGTCAGTCAAGCAGGTCTTGGAAGTTTTAAACTGCTGGCATGCAGTCCTTGTGTACTTGAAATATTTTGTCACCCTTTACCTTTTTTTCACCCTTAGTTTTCTTGTAAAGAAAGTTTGGTTACAGAAAATTTTGTTCTCAATGTTCATGTAATTTTCAGCGTTATCATCATACAAGGTATAAGTAGTTCTTGCACTGATATGAATTTTATTATTTGACAACCTGTATTATTTGTTTCAAAGCAAAACAAAAATATATGCATAGATTATCTATGTAGAATCCTCTTTATTTAAAACATTTTGTGCATAAAGATATGTACATATGGGCTTTGAAAAATATTCTAGCAAATATGAAAACGTTTTTTATGAGAATAACACGGAAAAAACGAAATGGTGAATTATGTGAATCTGAAGTAAAATATTTTACTCTTATATGATTATGAAGCCACTCTGGCTCAGAAAGGTTGTCCATGATCTCTTGGTAACTGTGATGAGGAAAGTGTAGCAGTGTTTATGACAAGAAACACATTAGCTTCAGATTGGAGTCTGTATACCATACCTTAGTAACATGCTCCAATGATTATTTTCGTGCTTGCTTAGGAAAAGTTGTTATACAGGTGAATTGTACTTTTTAGCAAGTATGAGCGGAAATGTTGCTATCCATTGTACATTGCATCTACCAAAGGATACTTTACCTTTATAGAAAGGTTACCTCTGTCATCAGATAGCTACAGTTGTGCACTAGATCAGTATTTTTACAGAGTTGAGGAGAGCCTGTGTGGTATAAATTTCTGGATTTCAAAAGTTGGTCTGAAATTTATTCAGAACAGTGAGTTCTTAGTGACTTGCAGTGTAGTGATTCAGAAAAGTGGCTGATCTAGGGACTTGCTGCCTATGAAGATGAATGAGATCTTGGTACATTTACACTACCAAGTGTATGAGGTGCCAGTACAAGTACAAATTGTAACAATATAACCTATAATGACCTCAGCAGTATGATAATAGGATTTCTGTATTATTATTATTATGACTTTATTATTTTCATTCTATTATTAGTTCTTTGCTTGTATTGTGTTACTATTATTGATGATGGAATCATTGTTAATATTAATAGATACATTATTTATTCACAGATAAATGTGCTAGATGGCAGTTGAATTCAATGTTTTTGCTTGTGTAACAAGAGCTGCGATCATTATAGGTATTAGGTTACAGGTTATAATCTAGGATGACTTGCTTGGTTGTTACTCAGTGCTGTACATGCATTATTACTACCAGCCCAAACCTTTCAGCTTTATGTACAGAAATCTAACAGTCCAAGTGCAAATGTCTTGTCTTAAAGTCTGTTATAGTTGTCTGAAAAATATTGATTCCTAAAGTATTTTGCAAAATGGAAAGGATTCAGTTAGTAGTCATGCAGATACTTTATTTGTATGAATATCATATGACCTATCCATACCTTGTGGCATGGTTTCTGAAGGTTATTGATGTTAACATTCCAGTTGTACTGCAGATGGAAGAAGTGGTATTTGTATTTCTTGTTAAAAAGGATATGAAACATACCCTCTTTTTCTTCTTCCTTTCTCTCTCTCTCTCTCTTGCTTTTGTCACAACATAAACAGGGATATTATTTTTCACTCTATTTCAAAGGTGACCTTCCATTTGTTATGCTTAATGGAAAAAAGTATTTGTGTAGCATTACTACAGCACCAACAGTTTTTCCAAATTTATTTCAACATTTATTTACCTTTTCAGTATGCATTTATGTTTTAACCATTACTTTTTTCAGTTGTGGAATTTAGAATTGATTGTTCAAGATCAAAAACATTGCTTGACCTTGTTGAATTTCACTACAGGTTTTCAAAATTGTATTGAAATGCACTGCTTTTCTTTTAAGATTTAAAAAGGTCCTGTACTTGTGAAGCATGTGTAGGATTAAAGACTTTACAACTCAGATGTTCAGTCTTATACTTCAGATGTCCAAATATATGCTATAATGCATAGTGATATGCAAATATATAAGCAATTTATGGTATTAGTTAGGGAATTATAATTTATAATTTTTCCCAGGCACACATTCTTTTCCAAAACATTTTAAGTTCAAATTACCACTGAGTTCAGTCTTATGGCAAAACGTTTCAAATGTACAACATCAGGGGATGGGTTCAACATACCATAAAAGAATACTAGGCGTGTGTAACACACATGTATTGTGAATTTTGAGAGGTAGAACGTGCGATTTGTGAACAGAATTGTAAATAAGTGACAGATAATTGTACAAATACATCTAGATTTTTTACACTAGGTTGTATCTTATTTTACACTGAAGAAAATAAGGAACTGAAGGTTACTGAAAAGGAAATTAAGAAGAGATCCTCTCCCATGCATGGCACCAGTAGAGTAACGGAATGCAAGCCAGTCTAGTAAGTTGTGTAAATAACACCATGTTACTGTGTTAAGTTAATTCTTTTG